AAATTTTTCGCATAAGTATTAGCCTCTTTCCACAAATGGGATATGATGGCATGATCTTTTTTCAGACCAGTATGTAGATTTTTGATATATCCTCTAACCCATTTTTTTGCTGATTTCTGCGCTAAGGTATCTCTTATTTTTGATACCTCATCTTCATCCATTTCATCTTCATCCTCTTCGTCTTCGTCCAGGTCATCTTCATCCATCCTATCGTCATCCGCTTCATTATCGTCTACTTTATTATCATCTTTTAACTTTTTTAAGGCCCCCAGCACGATTTCAGATAATGGCTGAAATATTCCATCATAGTTAATAAATCGTGCACAGAGGCTGACAACAGTTTTCAGATAATAGCTGATATCGATCTTTTTACCTAATCGCCTCACTATCTCTGGATACTCCATTTTATCCCCTACTCTCTGTGACGAATCATTCTTAACTACAATATACTCAAAGCGTTCACCCAGTTCTGGGATTTCATAAAGATAAAGCTCAGGTGTTAGGCCCTTTTTTATATGCCGTTTGGCATCCGCTTCTTCACAGGTGTGTCTATCTCACATTCGTGAAATGAAACGCTGAATACTTTTGTTATTTTTATCAGGCTTTCACACAGCAGTTTTAATTACTCTATTAAGATCTATCTGTGAAATATCATTTATGGTCTCTTTGAGCACGTCCTCCACAATCTGATGCAAGGTGCGTGTATTATTCAGCCTCATAGATTTTTCCATAACTTTTTTACCCACCTTACAAAAATGTTTAGACTGCTCCCGCTTTACAACCTCAACTCCCGAATGAAAAGCTCTGTTAAAGTTCAGCTTGCTTTCATGTGAAATACCATAGTATTTTTTCTTTCCAGTAAATACTATTGGAAATAAAACTTTCTCATATGCCATTTTGAGATAAGGAGATCTGTTATCTTCCTTGAAAAAGACATTAACTTTATCGCGAAGTTTTTCCATTTCCACTATAGAGATCTCTACCGTTCAAGACTAATATTCTTCTTTTGGGATCCCATTTTCACTATCAAAAGCCACATCACACCTCTGAAAGCGTTCTTTTGGACAAACTAGATACAAGGAATCTGTATCCCCATATTTTATTCTGAATCCCTTTCTCTTGACGAAATCAGCAACCAGTTTGATATTTCTCTGCCCAGCTGATGTAATACCTCTAGCAAGTTTACACAAGAAAAAAGGGGATTTACTATCTCCAGCTGTATCATAGAATGTATTCATATATACCTTGAAAGCATATTATTTTTTATTCAAACAAGAACAGTCGAAACAAATAAAATCATATTTTGCTATGAATTCATGCTTTTCTTTATGAATAAAATGATATAAATTATTAGTAAAACTGCTACATTTTTCTACCTCTACACTCGCTAAGGTCTGCTCAATAGCTTCTGATAATAACAAACCTCTACCCATTGAACTTATTACTAAGTCCATATCTTCTTTTTTCTCTTTCAAAGGGGCAAGACACTTCTTCATCTTATTTCGTTTACCTGATAAATATTCTAATATGCTAGTATAGAGTCCCTTTTCTTCAGAAATATTATTAAACTGAACTGACCAGATACATTGGGGGTTGTTATTAAATAGAAACTCTATCTTATGAGGCTTTGTGTCGCTTTGTTCTATAGATACGGCATGCTCTTGAGATAAAATAATTTTGTCAGATGAGAGGTTGTATATTATGATAAGATTTAGATATAATGATGCGAAATCTAAGCCAGTTACAGGACATCTATTTTCAAGACCTTTTATTAGTGAAAAAATATAGGCTTCAGGGAATTTTTTAGTTTCTGTTTGTCAGCTTAAAATCATACTGGTTAGGATCCCTCTTTTCCATGCACTAGCATTTAAAAGATTGCAAACCTTCATACCTCCTGCAAAATAATGTGCATCAAATAATGATAAGAAGGCTACAGATGCCACCTCTCTATACTCATTAATTGCATTATGCTTTACCATTAACCGCTGGTAACTAAGAGTGTTGATAATACAATATTTGGCCACTTCGCACATTTGTTCAGCCGATATGGAATCCAGCTTTTTTAATGCCCTTTCATAATATTTGTTCATGTGGTGAATAGATATATCCATTTTACTTTCGAGCCCATATTCATTTAGGTAAAATGCTAAACTACTCTTTTCAGCCTTAGAATAAATTTCCATAAAACAGGATCAGACATCAATAGCTACACATCCCAGAATTTTAAGATGTTTCGAATAGAATTTTCCATCATTTACTTTTATTATATTATATCGATATTCCCATTTTATAATTTTTTTCAGGCTGGATGGCTTGAATGACATATGATTGAACATCCATTTGAGAATCCTTAATTTATTAGCTTTCTTCACAATAAACTACTAATCATATTGAGAATCGTTAAAGCCTATATGTATGTCTGTGGCTAAAAGTTTTCAATATAAAGCGAATGCTTTTAGTAAATCTGTCTGGAATCCACATACAATTGTGATCAAGTGTGAGTCTAGCGCTATTTTAACATTGATAAGACAGATTTGTTTTAATGGTTCAAGATCATCTTTCCAATGCACTGTCATACAAATCATAAACACTTTATCTTTATCATATTTTGCGTTAGGCACCTCACCTGTTTTTTCGTAAACTATATGTCTCAATATCCTATGTAAGTATGAGGGTTCAATCCCTCGTAAGTGCTGAGGAGAATAATGGATTATTATAATCATCCTCACTTATTGGATTATAATTATCCACAGATAGTCGAAATAAGTAAGTACTATCTAGGGTGAATTCGTATAAATAATTGCTTAATACGGCCCAGCTTGAAAGAGGTAATCGTTCTTCACGAGCTACTTTACAGTAATAATACTGGCTGTTTAAATCATCTGAGGCTGTATGAATGCTGACTTCACGAACTGCTTTTAGGGCATTATACTGATCAAAATAGTTTCACGTCCTTATATGGATATATGCTTTCTTTTCTGTATAATAGCCTTAAAGTAAAAAAGTACGAATATCCTCAATCCTAAATTTTGATATACCTTTGAGAGTATTGGATAATATATTTACTAATCTGATCTTAAACGTAAATAGTGGTATATCTTTAGGAACTTTGACATCAAAGAAGGGTCAGATGTCTATAATATTCACAACTGCTTTTTGCCCATTAATCAAGCAACCACTAATACGCAAAATATAAGTAAAGACCCCATTTATATATTTGGTATCATCACTAACTTCAGTAGGCATGAAATGTATGGGTTGCTTGTCAAATAGGCTTTGTTGAAGTATAGCAGTCATCCCATTTTCATATTCTGCTATGATCTTATTATGTGATAGAATACTGACTAAAGGGCTAATACCATCATAACGGACGAGAGTTCCGCAATTAGTTTGGTCAAAAATAGTTGAGATACGCATATCGACAGTAGGTAAAACTTTATATACTCCAATATAATTCTGAAATGTTTAATTAATTTTTTTAATGAATGTAAAAAAAGACGTATATTAAGCTAGAAAGTAAATCGTAAATAAAAGGTAAGCGAATATACAACTGAAAGTGAAGCCTTCTGCATATTCTATTATATAAATATTGGCAGAAGGCTTCATTTTTCTAGACATGTATTCAGGTGTAGCATAAAAGCTACATCTCGATAGTATGTATCCAGGTATGGTATAGCCTTCGCGTAAGACTTATTCTTCTTAGATATGTACCTGGATATGATATGATATTTTCTTCAGAAATATTATATAAAAAATTGGAAGAAGGCTTCACTTTTCTTAGATATGTACTTGGGTATGATATGAAGGCTTCTTTGAAAATATTATATAAAATTATGGAAGAAAACTACCCTAACACTAGTATGTATTTAGGTGTGGCATAAAGGCTACATCTTGATGGTATATATTTGGGCATATGTGGTATAAGTATTTTGCGTATTTTATTATATAAATATTAGCAGAAAACTTATACTTTTTTAGATATATACTTAGATATAGTATAAATAGGCTGACCATGATAATATATATCACATCTCTAACATCAGACGTAAAATCAGCATACATATATCAGCAACAAATAGACATCAGTTTCAATCTTTTAAATTGTATACCTCAAAATCACTTTATTCTGGTAATCAAATGGGTCAGATATGATCCCTTGAAAGTTATGCAAATTGAATTTTTTTACATGTAATACTTACATACATATTACCATGCCCGATATTTACTCTACATTCAATTAAGATGAAATATGATAGAAACATTTACAGAATATAAATATACTTTATAAGATGAATAAGATAAACATTATACTTACTCATTTTGTAATAGTGGTCTAATAACATCTTGTAAAATTATGTATTGAATTTTCAGTCACATGATATTGCATGACAGGCTGTCATTGAAAATAGAGGTAGCAAATTAACTGCGTTATCTGTCATCTTTTTTTTACACTACTTCAGCCTCTAGAAAGGTAACCAAATAGTCATAAAGGAAAAGCACTCTAACATAGAATTTAGCATCCAATCAGATGCAGGAGGCCAGCATCCTCAACATAAAACAAGATATCTAAACAGCTACAGAAAGCCAGTATCAACAATATAGAATTTATCATCTAAACGAATCAGAAATAAGAAGAAAGCAGACACCATTAGAT